TTTTATTAAGTTAGGAATAATGGAAAAAAAACAGAAGATATCCATAACTATTTGAAAATATATTTTTCAAATTGATATTAGCCAGTAATCCGTTCATGAATGTGCTCTTTTTCTTCCTGTTTGACAAAGCCACTTACCTCAATAGTGTTTACGGAGGTAAATTCACTATAAAATATTCAAATCAGTAACAAGGCCACTCTTCTTTCAATGTAATCAACTCGTAATTGCAAGGCATTTTGCTCCTGTGACTAGTATATTGCCTATAGTGAAAAGGTACAATTCAGGGAGTGAATTATTGTATTTTTAGCTTGTCAAATTAATGTCACAGTTCTCCATATCCACAGGCTGATTAATTTTATTTCTGATTTTCTAAAAACTTTTTTGCAGTTTGCTTTGGGATTAGTTTTGCAAAGTTTCTTCAATTTCTGTAACACACCAAGTATAAGTATATGTCTAAACAGTATTGTGTTTGATGTTCTTCTACCCACTTTTATAATGTCATTGCTGACTTTGTGAGACTAAGGTATACATATAACCAATATCTACATTTAGAAAAAGAGATTCCCAATGGGCTATTTGTAGACTGCGATTGTGGACAAAACCATATTTACCTTTTTAGCCTGGTCTATTTCAAAACGTCATACTTGTTTGTTGTTCAGGATTGACTTTATTCTTTGTCTTCCACATGAAGATTATCCCATTATCTAGACCAAGTGTGCCCAAAATGTAGATCCCCTGATGTCTTAGGACTACAGCTCCCATGATGCTTTGTATGTCTTTAGAATGCTTAAGAATTGCAAAGCATCATGGTAATTGTACTTTAAACACATCTTGGGATCTACTTGTTGGGCACCCCTGATCTAGACTATTGCTGCATCATGGGTAGTGTGCACTCAGTAGCTTGGAGTCTGTTTAGTATGAAGACTGCACCCCTTTTTCAGGTGTCAGGGCCAATGGTAGTGTCTACCATACTGCTTGCTCTTCTCCATCCCAATAAAAAATATATATCCTTGTTTGGAAATGCTAAACTCCCATTCACTTGAATAGATATTGCAGAAATTGTTCTCATGCTCTCTTCTTCAGACACTTAGTCTATAAAAACCATCAATGAAACATTGTATCTAGCACAGAAATATTATGAACTTCTTAAATAAATTGCTCCTCTTATATTGATGTAATTTTGTTGTATTTGTGTTTCTGTATATTTGTTTGTTCTTATGGTGGCCAACATTTTTACAGGGTTATTCACTATTGAATTTTAAATTTGACCGAAATAGTTAGTGGAAAAATTCTCTTAGTGAATTATACTTTCAATTCGGCTACTGTGGACTCAAATTTGAAATTCACTTTGAATTATCACTTTAGTGAATAATATTGTTAATGTAAGCAGTAGTAAGAGAAGCTTTTACTATGAAATGAAAATATTTAACTAATGCAGGAATGATAACGATATAAAACTGGCCCACAGACCAAGACTTAGAAGACTGTTTTCCATGCTAATAATGTTGGTTTTCTGTAAAATGCATTGTGTGCTATTCTCTGAAAGTTTTCTGCAAAATTGTCATATATACATTAAGTAGCGTCTTCTCCTCTATCTTTTAGAACTGTGGAAGACACAGATTTTGCACAGCTCACATTATATACAGGTTCCACACAGACATTAAGCACTCACAATCCACATCCCCTTTAAAAGTCAGATGAAGCATTAGTCATAGTCATTATCTGATCATAGAGCAGGGACAGGCAACCTTTTACACTCCAGATGTTGGCGACTAGATGCTCTTACAGCCATTTGCTCCAAAATATCTGTAGTGTTGTAGGTTGTCTAGGTAGCCCAGGATAAATGGGATGCACACCTATTCTCTGACATAGGCTTGTACCTTTTACTACTAGAATGTGTCATGGACTGTGAAGTTTCAGTTACTCTTGAATATTAAACTTTTCCATCTATGTTTTTCTCCCTAATTGAAATATAGTGCTGCAGCCAAAACCAGAGAAAAAAATTAAAACCGCTGTAAAATGAGATCATCCCTGACATTCCCTTCATTGTTAATTTAAAAGGGATGGCTGACAGAGTAAAATCATGTCTGGTTCCCTTAGATGTTGTAATATATTCCTAAATAAATGCTGGCCTCATTTCAGGAACATATGTTTGTTTGCAACTGAAGAGGATGGTGCACACACTTAATAGGCAGGGTACTGCCACCAGGGTGCAACAGACAGGGAGTTCAATGTTCCCACAGAAATATAATGGTAGTAAATACAAGTATCCGGACACACCTGATGGTTTATTTTTAAAAGGCAGTCTTTATATGAACATAGGCGTTAGAGCTGGCATTTTACACACTCTTCCCAAACTCCCTTAGAAAACTGCAAGACAAACTTGTTGGTAGAGTAAGCTAAAGCAACTATGGAGTATGAGCTGTAGTTGCTGTGACTAAGAACAGGAGAAACTCCTCAATGAGGGTTCTCCCGCTCTTCCTGGTCACTCATTTCTCAGCTTCCATCCCAGTTTTTCTTCTCTGATTTCCCTAGAGTTCCCAAAAATCTCAATGCACGTGCATTATTAAATGCAGAAAGCAAATAAAAGGGCACTTCTGCCACGCAACAGTGCTTGTGCAGTTTGACTGGATACCAGAGCTACTTTCCAGACCAGCAAGCATGCTCTTTCATGTTGGGGTTTATGGAGCCATTCTACCTTAGTAAGAAGAAGTGGAATTAGATGAGAATAATTAGTCAACCTGTTGTATCCCTTTTAAAATGCTTAAATAGTTCCACTTACTACAAACACCAAAAAGCCATACACTATTAGACCTTGTAGTCTTTCTTTCTGTCACGTCCCTCTATTTTGGACAAATGTCTTCCTACCTCCTACTTGTGAATTGCCTGGTGGTTCTAAAATGTGTTAAAAGTATTTGTGGAGATCCAAAACTACTACAAATCACATGTCACATAAGAACAAATCATGCCTGAACTCTGCTGCTCTTTGCAAATAATTTTCCAAGAAAACACTTTTTTTACGATCTGTGTATTAGCTGAATAATTGAAACTCTAACAACATATATAAACTAAAGTGCAATAATGGACACTGTTAATAGTAACATAATGCAGCAGGCCCTTTAAGAAAGACAGGATTAATGGGACACTAATATCAGCTACTGAAAATGAGTGGGGCCTCATTATTTTAGATGTATATAAAAATAGGAAAGCAGTGTAGTAACGCTGTGGGGAAAACCAGCAGGGTATCAAACTGTACAGGAAGATATATTATCAGCAGGGACCAAAAGGCAGGGAGGCCACAATATGTCATTACTTAAGCCTCATCTAGCTGATGTAATAAATGGTACCAGAAAAACACAGTATGGGTCATTATGTGCATACATTATAAGCTGTTCCATGTGGGGCCACTTTTCTATGTGTATTAAAAATAACACTCTTTTATATTCTGGCTTTGTAGGTTTGTTTATTTTATATTTTTTTCCTTCCTTTAAAAATGAATAATGGTACAGAACATGAGTAGCGTATAACATTCAATAACTGCACATTTAACCATATTAATATTCCAGACAGACTATTAACATGTTTAATAAATATCATTAAAAAATACATTGGGTTGGTTTTTTTTTTTGGCAATGCTTGTTTTTTTTTTCTATTTCTTTACAAAAAGTATCGCAACATGTCTGTAAAATATAGTTTTACACTTTTTTACAGTTCTAGAATGTGTCACTATATGCATCCTAGCAACTTAGTATAATTTCAAAGGTTATCGTGTTATACAGCAGCACACCAAGTGGGGGAGGGTCCACACCGCACTCCAGTCCTGCATGTTTCTCTTTAAAGCAGTGCTCTTCAATCCTTTCCTCAATGCACACCTAAGAGTCCAGGATTTAGGGATTACCCAAGTCTGTCTAAGGTGTTTAGAAAACACCTTCTAAATACCTTAGACACATCTGGGTACTTCCTAAATCCCAGACTGTTAGATGTGCCTTGAGGAGCACTGCTCTGTAGCATGAAACCTGGGTAGAAGATTTCTTTATCCTCTAGCAGGGTTTAGCAGGGAGGGTTTAGCAGGCAGCAGGGGCAAAGTTATATACCACCACCAAATACACCAGGCTTCCCCAAACTCCGGCCCTCCAGATGTTGCTGAACTACAACTCTGATGATTTTATGAATGAAATAGACTGAGAATTATGGGAGTTGTAGTTCAGCAACATCTGGAGGACCGAAGTTTGTGGAAGCCTGCAATACACTGTAACCTAAAAATAGGGTGTAATGGCAAATACAAAATGTATATTATGTGAAGGACATCTATCTTGGGTTCTGAAGACATTTTTAAATTGCTTGACTTTTACGCTCTAGTTTATAACAATGTCTCCAAATGTCCTTGATGGCATTACTGTGCCATAATACACAGTTTGGCATTATGTATCCTCTGTCTACATAAATAATGTGAATTTTATGTATAAATGTTTTTTTATGAATGTGTTTTACTGCCATTGTGTTCTATTATCTGCTACCATATAATATTCTTAATGCAATGAAGCACAGCTTGCAAACATTTATTACTATGCGGGAAATGAAAATATATGAATGTTTTACGTTGGCATATTTTAACATATTTTTGTTTGTTTCTGTGCTCCAGCTCGCTTTAAGAGATCCAGTGCATACAGTGTCGCTACAAACTTTTGTATATGAAAAACTGAAAGCACAGCAGGAGTTATTGGGAGAAGACGGATTCCGCTGTCTAATGGAGACTGTAGACAATGAACTAGTAAAACAGCTGCAAGAGTTTTTACAACGCATTTAAATAAAAAAAGTTTCACAAATTATTGTGTGTTTACTCAAAAGCAATAGGATTTAGCATTTTTTTTTTTTAGTAAAAGTACAAATAAAATGATGAGATCAAATCATTTAACTTTATACACACTGTGTTTTAATTTTATAATCCTAAAAAACTCTCTTTGCTTAATTCCTATAGTGAAATGGTGGTCATATTTATAATGAAATATTCATTCTTTAAATCCTTTTAAAATGTTTACATGTCAATTTTCTCATGGTTTCTTATTATTCAGTGTTATATGTCATAAGAAAAAGCAAGAGGGCGCCACATTAGTGCAGGCATGGGGTCACATGGAGTTATGAGGTGCAGAGATGAAACCCTGAGTTGTTTACTTTTGTAAATGGTTAATTTTCATTCCTGGGCTGCCATACAGTCTCAAAGACAACATAGGCCCAGGAATCCAATCTGGGATATTTCAATGTGTAAAAGCTGAAAAGGGGAAAGCGCTGTATTTGACCCTGTTACTTTCCAAAACCCCATAAAACCTATACATGGGGGTTACTGTTATACTCGTGAGATATCGCTGAACATAGCTATGTGTATTTTAAAATCTAGCAGTATTATGACATTCACAGTTAAAATGCCACGAAGAGCTAAGAATATAACAAAATGTCGTCGTTTCTCAAATTTCTTTTAGATTGAATTCATTTTAAATGGTTTCATATGTGAATATTTGATATGAAATGAAAGCAGTGTTTCTCCTGAAAAACAAAAAAATTAATAAGTGTGGGCGCACTTAATATGAAAGAGATAAATTATGATTGAACAAATTTATTGCTCAAATTCTAGGTTTTGTTTTGATGAGAACATGATTTTGTTCGTTCGTGGTTAAAGGCTGCTCCTAATCTACAAAAACCTATCGCTCTAATAGAAGGAAACAAAAAACGAAAACGTTAGCTACTGAACTAAGTTTTAAACTCAACACTTTTGTTTTCGTCCCCATTTATAATGAGCTGAACTCAAAGATCTAGGACTAATCCATCCACCTCACAGGTGTGGCATATCAATATGCTGATTAGACAGCATGATTATTGCACAGGTGTGCCTTAGGCTGACAACAATAAAAAGCCATTTTAAAATGTGCACAATAACGTTGCTAGTAAGGGCGAAGTGCTCCTAGTTTCCCTGACGTGCGTTTCGCTGTTTAGCTCATCAGAGGGGAACCGGGAAACTGACATTTGCCGGTTTTAAATGAGGGATACAACGATCCCACTGGATAAAGTGTATTTGAATGTACCAATCATCTCACTGTGTATCAGGAGATGTGGTTTTACTTAATGAATAGGAGAACATGAATGAATACACGGAAAGGACAGAAGTGGAAGTGTCCGAAAAGATACTTTAAATAGATATTGTAAAAGTATTATACAGAGACCCTAATGATGTGATATAATGTACAATGGAAAAATTAAAATCAAAAAAGAAAATATGAAAAAATATGTGAAATGTACACATGAAAAAGGACATACAGTAACTGTATTATATGATCTACAGGAAACTAATATATTAAATATTAAATGAGTCATTGGGCGATTAAAAGTATTTGATAATAGACCTATTAATAATTGGCTTGTGGTGTGATTAAATAAACTGAATATGTACATATTTAATATGAAAAGGTGCAGTGTATAGTTATTAGAGATCAGCAGTTAACACTATTTCATATTACTAAGATGATACTGAGTCTTATGCGAACTTTACCATCAGAGTTCTGTCAGGTATAGTAAAGAAATGAAAAATAAATAAATAGAAAATTACAGACCATGAAAGCTAGTCTGTCAGAAGAAATACTAATACATGACTGTTTATCTTGTAGACAAATCAATTAAAGGTGCCTTCATTTTTTTGTAATACTAGAAGTAAACTTCTCTGAACATACAGTTCTAATGGTAATGCCGTAAGTGAACTTCTCTGTACATACAGTTCTAATGGTTATAATTATATATGGAACCATTCATGTACCAAAAAAGATATATATATAGTTGCCACGCCAACCATCCATGCTGTGTACACCTTACAAAATAATGATGATTGGCATAATTCTTATCTAATATATGTCGTGAAGTAGTCAGAAGATCTTTAGTCTAAATGTCGGTTGAAAAACATGCCCAAACACAGATCAAGTTCTAACCAATATGGTGCTAGACGTATTAAGAGATGTACTTTGTTATAGGTTATATAGTTGTATATACACATGGTTTGAACAGGTTTATAGAAATATTAAGAGTTCTGCAAGATATAAGGGTTAGTCATGAATGACAGGAATAAAATAAAATTAAATTCCTCATTAGGGTGCTAATCTATGGAACAAGTGTATCCATTGCGATTCTTGTTTCAGCAATTTTAAATTAAAATTGCCCTTCCTGGAATTGGAAGTGATGAAGTTTCAGGTTGGAAATGTCACTGTTATATACTTTCCTAATGTGGTTGGCTACTGGGGTGGTGATGTTAAAGGACCAGCTTAATGAAGTGGTCTGGGTGCCAGGTCCATCTAGGGTTAATCACCAAACAGAGAAACTTCGGATTTAAGTTGATATACTATATCACTTAAATCCTCAGCTTCTCACGAGTGTAGCGCTGAATATGAAGATATAAAGTGAGATTATCAGTGAAAAAACAGTGCTGCAAAGGCACTTACCCTCTATGTTATACTTTAGTTTTCTTTATAACATACCAAGGAAAGCAGAAACAGAAAAAATACAAATAATAGTGCAGTATGTTAAGTGTATATTTGAAAAAAGTCCTTTTGCTGCGAGTTATAAGTTGAAATAAACTCACATTTTATAGAGCTTTTTACAGTTGTAAGGCTCTAAACTTCCAGATGTCTGTGTCTTTTTAGGGTAGATCACACGACCCATCTCTCAAGGTGAAAAAGCGTATATTCCTCTCCACATTGCGTAGAAATAAGACACAGATATTTCTAATCTAAGTGTAGTATTTTAAATACGGATATAAATCAATGTAAATAAAATACAGAATTGCTCACCTTATTTAGAACCTTTGGCTTTAAGTATTTAGGCCTAGTGTCAATTAGTGGGGTGACACTGCCCCTTCCTGGAATCACTTGCACAGGATGCAACTCAATGGTGAATAAAAAATGTATATTTATTTAAAGAACTATTAAAATGTATACATACTTTTCTAAAAAATAATAAAAACATATAAAGATAATACAAATGTATTGAGTGGTCTATTAACAGATCCACCTAATTAGCCAAAACGCGTTTCACCGAAAACACGGCTTCCTCAGTCAGCTTCTAGGGTCAACCCTGCAGCTGAAACTGCTATGTTTACATTAGGGTTAATCCAGCCTCTAGTAGCTGTCTCATTGACAGCCGCTAGAGGGCTTCCGCGCTTCTCACTGTGATTTTCACAGTGAGAAGACGCCAGTGTCCATAGGAAAACATTGAGAATGCTTTCCTATGGACTGACTGCGCTCGCGGCTTTTGCCGCGCTTGCGCATTCAGCCAAAGAGGGAGGAGAGTCCCCAGCGCTGTGGGAGCCCCGCGCTGGAGAAAGGTAAGTGTTTAACCCCTTCCTCCAACTTCAGCCCGGCGGGAGGAGGGCCATGAGGGTGGGGGCACCCTCAGGGCACTATAGTACCAGGAAAACGAGTTTGTTTACCTGGCACTATAGTGGTCCTTTAAGATTAGTTACTGTATAGGATTCGTCTTCTAAACTGCTGATAAGTTTTGCCCACGTATTGTATCCCACAACCACAGGTGATCACATAGACTACTTTGGTGGAACTGCAATTTATGAATTGTTTAATGGAAAGTTGTGTTTTAGTTTGGGTATGTTCCACAATTTTGGATGGTTTGATAAAGTCACATGCCTTACAGTGTCCACATCTATAGGTTCCATTGGTGGTGGTAAACCAAGTTCGAGGAGCTGAAACAGGTTCCATGTGACTATGTACCAGCAAATCTTTTAAATTCCTGGGTCTGCATGCTGTAATTCTGTAAAAAGGTGATAAATGGTTAACCAGGTCCGAATTGTGTGTAAGAATTGACCAATGATCAAAGTAAATCTGTTTTATTGGATCCCATAGTTGATCAAATGTACTGATGCAACGTATAAGTGGTTGCTCTTGTTTGGGTCGACTAGTTCTCAAGCACACAGTTCTCACCATAGAGACCACCCTTTGGAAATCTCTTTTCAATACCTTATTTGGATAGCCCTGAGCTTTGAAGGGTTTTTTCAATTCTTTGGCTTCCTTATAGAAAGACTCATCGTTGGAGCAATTCCTTCTTGCTTTGAGCTATTGACCATACAGTATTCCTGCTTTTAAGTTATGTGGATGATGGCTGTGCCAATGGAGCAAATTATTAGTTGCAGTGGTCTGTCTGAACAGTTCTGTTTCCACTATGCCGTCTAGACTCAAAGACATTTTTAAGTCCAAAAATTCTAGCTCTTTGTCATCAATTACAAAAGTCAGTGTGAGCCCTATGTCATTTTGGTTTAAGGTTTGTACAAGTTCTTCAAACATACCGATGGAACCTGTCCAAAATAGGAGGACATCATCGATATATCTATGCCATTGAAGGATGTAGTCTTCATAGTTAATAGCAATGGTCTGATGTAAAATAGTCTCCTCCCACCACCCTAGATATAAATTGTCATAGCTCTGAGCACAGGCTCTGCCCATGGCCATCCCTCTAATTCGAAGGTAATATACCCTGTTAAACACAAAGTAATTGTGTGTTAACAAAACGGAAGAAGCCTGAAAATGAATTATTTTTGACAAGGTGCAGGCTTGTCAGACATGTTTAAGAAATATTCAGTTGCTTATAAGCCCAAATCATGGGGAATATTATTGTAGAGGGACACCACATCCAAGCTTGCCAGTAGGGTGTAGGGTGGGACTATCAGATCTTCCAAAATCAGTAGTGCCTGCTTTTTATCTTGAACATAAGATGCTAGCTTTATCACATACGGGTGTAGCAGCATTCAGCGCCTCCATGCAGACCCCTCACCCAATTCTAATACTGTCCAATACACTGAGCAGCATCCTGGGTATACATTCAGTTTTTCTACCAGTTACCGGAGGATGATTATCGCAAAGGGTAAATACAGTGTCATGAATAAATAGAGCTGAGACAGATGTGTAGAAGAGTGATCTCACAAAGGTCTAACAGGAGTGTATGATTCACTTCACTGATCTAAATAGCTGAAACTTGTAACTGGGTATCATGGTAGTATTAAGTGTCTGTTTGAAAAACGGATCTGCCCTTTCTTTAGGAATTGGTAAAAACAAAATTCTTGTGCTCTAGCTTGAGAATAACTATAGGCAAAGTTTCATAAAGTGATATTGCAATATGCACTGGCACCAAGACAAAGAAAATACATAGGAAAGCAAAGACATAATCATGATGAATAGGTGTCTTCTCAAGGATTGGCAGATGTGGTAATTGTTTCCTTCACAATAACATACCACCCAAGTGTCCCTATTTACAAGGAACCAAAACTATTTTGGGCCCAGATACCTCTGTCTGTCTTTTCTTTCCTGTCCTAATGTCCCTCTTTTCTAGGTGCTCCATATTGTGGTGTCTCTGAGTGTATAACAAACCTCCACAGCATTAATACTAACATTCACTTAAACTACAATAAATGTGTTTAGAAATCAGTCTGTGTAAATAGGATGAAAATACAAGAAATGGTGAGAGCACTCAAATAAAATTACAATAAAATTTTACCCATTGGTTAATAAATTTCTGCAAGAAAGGGAAGAAGCCTTGAGCAGCTGCCTGCAGGACACCTTGGTCAAATAGATTCCTTCAGGCTTTTTGCTATAAACACTTTTCAGAGAAAATGCAGTGTTTACATAACAGCCTAGTGATAACTTCACTGGCCACTCCTCAGATAGCTGTTAGAGATCCTTCCTGGGTCATGACTGCCTAAAATGCAGCCAAACATTCAGTATCTCCTCCCTCTGCATGCAGACACTGAACTTTCGTTGTGTAAATAAGATACATTGCTCTTGTTCTAAATTACATTTCCTGGCTAATCATGGCAGTATCGCTCATGGGTAGCTCCTCCCCCAGCCAACACAGGACAGGAACAATAAACTAATTAAATTAATCAGACTATAGGTATAAAGGTCCCTCTTCCCTTCCCAATCTTTTTTTCCTGTCCTCAGCCGGACAAACAGGAATTTATTTTTTGCCCACCTTCCTGCGTTTCATACCAAAACGGAGTTAAACCTCTCTTCATTTGAAGAACTCCGTAAACAACCTGCACAGGCAGGACTAACTGAGTTAGGCTCAGTATACACCTGAACCACTGCACATAAGAGATTAGATCCAAATCATTTAATACTTATGAAGAAGGGGTTGGTGAGTACCTTAAACATTTCCTCTACAAAAAAAATCCCCCCCTTTTCCATCTTGGTAATAATAACTCCAAGGGCAGCAGTTTTGGGGAAGCCATAAACATTATTGATTCATAGATTGCTCCTCTACGGGAGCCAAAATCTTTTTACTTATAACTCTGTTAGTGCTTGAAGGGAACCTGTAGCAAAGAAATGCTGGGGTTATGTGTCCTATCTTTGAATGCTCTTCAGGCAGCAGAAACAAGGGAGTTACCTGTGTAAAAAAGGCTCTCTATGAGTTCGGCCATCCTTCTATTCCCTGAGTTGGAGACAAGGGGGAGCAGCTTCAGTTATGACTCGATCAGTTCTCTCCTGGAATGCATAGCGTGCATTGCGCATGCATGAATCCCAGCAATTAAAGGGATATCACACCAAATTTAAAAATGGCTAGTTTTGGCTAAACAATTCAGCAGATTGTTCCTGTGTGCCTCAGAGAGACTGTTTCCAGCTTGGTTGACTTGCGGGTTTGCTGCCCTGGGCATTGATATCAACTTTTTCAGGTATTGTGAGCTTAACTTCTTTCTGATCTTAAATCTCAGAGGCTTCATTGGATATTACAAAAATGCTGGCAAAAAGTATGGCATTGACAGTAGCCTCAAGAAGGGCTCTATGGCTTCACTCATGGGGTTCAGACTACACCTCTAAGGCCTCACTTTGTGGTCTCCCATTCCAAGGGGATAAGGTAAGGCTACAGGATAGAGTTCAAGATGTTTCCAAGAAAAAATTCCTTCATTAGATCAAGAGTATCAAAAGGCAGAAAAGAACAAGCCATGAAAGATTGCATCCACAAACTCCTAAAGGGGTTATAGAGGAAGTGGCCACCCCCCATGGTGGCTCTAAGGGGATTTGAACTGTGATCGCTTTCTGCTTTAGCCCTGCTGTGTTACCTCTGTGCCACACTTCATATCATATGGATCTAGGCTTTTCCTGCAAAGCCCCCGTGCACAGATTCACAGCCCAGGTGGCTTCTTACCTGGTCACATTTAACTTCAAGGGT